AGTTTATAAAAATGACTCCGCATATCAATTTCTGACAGGATTAAATCCTAAATATGATTTAATATGAATTTACATTTTAGAAAAATAGAAAATGTCATTACTTAATAAGGTAATTTTCATTGTAATAGCAGAAGAAAACATAAGAGCAGTAATGTTAGAATCTCGTTGTACTGATAGTTTAGTCCTAATGTTGTGAGCTTCCAAAACTTGCTAGCAAAAAAAGGAAGTGAATCGCTTTGAAAACTCACATTTAGGAGCAGATAATAGGGATAATCTTTAATGTATTTTTTTTTTTGTAGAAAGTTCAGATATACAAAAAAAAAAGTATTAGAATTTGCAAAGCAAGCCCAATACCTCTAGTAAAGATTGAGGATACAACACCTTTTTTGTAGAAGATTCCAAACAGGTTCATATGGTTAACAAACAGAAAGAAGAAATACATGTCAATCTCACTGCTTTCAAAGTTGACATTGGACGATTGTAAAGTCGATTGGAGGTCCTTGAGAAGTGCACAGATACAAGTGTAATAAAATATTCAGGTGTACTTTTATTTTCATATGATTTAAATGTCTTAATTATATCATTTGAGAATTTTTATATTGCAGACTTAAGAACCACAAAATTATATGGCTAACTATTGACTAAAATATTTTATTATTTAATTAATTAAGATAATATAATTAAAATTTTAGTTTATAATAATTTCTTATCAATAGATTAAAAATTGTATAAATACTTAAAATATAATAATATAAAGAATGAAAAATAAAATTAATATTTTTTTTGTAAAATCTACATGATATCAAAACTAAATAAAATTATTTTAGGATTTTAATTTTAGAGTTTTTTTTAAATCTTAAAATAGTAAAATAGATTGATTTGGGATTCACCTATTAAGATTTAATCTTATCACTACTCTATACGGAGTTGCAGCCTCACCGCCGGACTACCCCGACTTAGATTACTGATTTTTGCAAGCGCCGCTACATGCGCTGCCACTAGCTGCCGCTGGCCGCCACACGCACCCTTGCTGGCCATCACGATCTACCATGATTTCATCGGAAATCACCACAGAAATTGCCAATGGGTTCAGATCTGGCATGGATCTGGTGAAAATCACGCTGAAACTGCTCGAATCTTGCTTTACTGAGCCTGGCCGCCACAGATCGTCTTCTTCTTTGGCTCTCTGGCCGTGTCTGCACACAAATAGGCCTTCTTCGCATGCGAGCTGCATCGATTAGCCTTCTTTGGTCCTTTTCAGCTGTTCCGCGCATGTCGACCTTTGATTTCTTGATCTAGCCTCTTCGCGCACCAGCAGCTCCGACCAGCCTTTTCTGGTCCTTTCTTCGGCTCCTTAACACATGTCCACCTATGGTATCGCGATGCCGACGCTAATCTAGCTCTTTTTTTGCGCGCGAGCCGCTTTGACCAACCTTTTTTGGTCATTTTTTCGGCTCTTCAGCGTGTGTCTGCCTTTAGTTTCGCAAACTGGCACTTATCTAGCTTCTCAGCAGGCGAGCTCCTCCAACCAAACTTTTCTAGTCCTTTTTCTAGCTCTTCTGCACGCGTTCGCTGTTGGTTTGCAACTTAGTTTGCAAGTTAGACGTATGTGATATTGTTGTACCAACTTGAGGGGAGGTGTTTATTATGATATTTTATTATTTTATTAGTTAAGATGATATATTTAAAATTTTATTAAAATAATAATTTTCTTATCAGTAAATTAGAAATTATATAAATATTCTAAATATAACAATATAAAAGGTAAGAAATAAAGTTAATATTTTTTTCTCTAAAATCTACACTAACCAACATGAAGAAGAATACATGTCGATCTCACTGCTTTCAAAGTTAAGATTGGACAACTATAAAGTCAACTAGAGGTCCATGAGAAGCCCGTGGTGCAACTGTAATAAAACACCCAGGCATACTTTGATTTTCATACGATTTAAAT